TTTTGAGAATGATGAGGGCAATGAATGTACAAATGCGCTTTACACAATTGATGTGTGTATGGATTGTGATAAGAGTTGTATGATCCCCTAATAAAGTGATTTTAAAAAATGTTGAAAAGCAACAACAATAAAAAAAAGTAACTCAAAAGGGCCCCTAATAAAACGATTTTTTTAAAAGTGGCGGTGGGAATGGTTTCTAAGAAAGGGTTTCTCAAGGTAAACACAAGCCTTGCAGACAGGTTTATCAATAGACATAAGGGTATTAGGGGCACCGGAATCAATAATGAATAAACAAAGGAGAAACAGGCTTGGGAAGATAATTCTTCAGATAAGGGTTTGTTTGAGTTACTGACAGGATATTAGATTACAGTAAAGGTCCAGAGCTCAGATAAGAAGGTAGAAACAAATGCGAGTTACTACTGAGAAGAGAGGCAGTCCACTGGGGTAGGCGGGGATCCTGGAAAAGTAAGAAGAGAGGGCAGCTTGAGTCAACAGGAGTGACCAACACAATTTGAGTCGGTTTATGACAAATTTATACAAAAGTAAATTGCAAGGTGTAAACAAGTGACCAGGAGCCCTGATTGGTTGCTTAGTGGTTACCCGATGAGCTGCTAACTCCAAAGTCAGCGGTTCAAACTCTCCAGCCGCTCCCATGAGAAAGAAGGCTTTCTCTGATGCTAAAGTTATAGTCTCTGAAACCCAGTAGTATTACTGTCCTATAGGGTGCTATGAATCAGAATTAACTCAATGGCCGTGAGTTCTGTTTGGAAACAAATGTCCATCAAAGCACAACTCGCAGAAAAACATCCGTAAGTTTACTATTGTAAAATATTGATTACAATCAATACAGCAAACTCTCCTTTAGAAGTATAGCAGTTAAGTCTTGAGCATACATGCCTGCAGCCATTAATACCCCCAGTCCTGCCACTTTCTAAACTGTCTAAATCGTTGTAATCACCGAAAAATTCAAATGACTTTTTTGAAAGCTCACTTTACATCACCTTTTTTTTTTTAATACCTCCACCAGCATCCATTTTCACTTGAAATCAGGATTTTTGTATTTACAATAAAAAGGGAAACAAGAGTTCAGCAGTTGTTTTGCAGCTCCCTAGTTAGAGGGATGTGGCAGTCACCTAATCCGGTGTCGATTTAAGGATTAAGAGCGTTGGGGTGGAGTCTAGGCTGTCAATCTGGAGCTAGCCAATGAGACTTCTGTGTGGGCATGGCCTTCTCCTGAGAATTCTGAGAAATTTGGAACTTCTTGGGAGGCAGAAGACACCTCTCTGCCACTCCCTGGGAGACATTGCAGAAGACAAGCCACGTGGACACAACCAGACCTTGGAAGCCGGAGAAGCCACAGAGACCCATGCCAGCACTGAGATGCTTACACTGGACCCAAAGACTTTCTTCCCACTGGCTTGTGATCGTCCTTCATTTGGCTTCATTGCATGTGTTTTGTGAGTCTGAAGAGGACTTTATAGATTGGTATTGGACATATGGGCTAATATCAGACTTATGGCCTTGGACTGGACTTGGTTGGGATGTTTTCTCATGTTCAGTTCCTCTTGTATATAAATCTTTCTTATACACGTGTCCATGGATTTGTTTCTCTAGTCTACCCAGACTAACACAAGGTAGCACACATCTAATCAATGGGCATTAGCCATAGGCCTAGTTTGAACTGAAAACTTTTGTATTAACTTTTAATTCTCATTTTCTACTTTTTGAAGCCGCACACATTAGTTTTATGTTACCGGGTATGAGTTGGTAGGCTATTTTTTTTAGGTCTGTGAACGCTCAAAAATTGTTTTCCCATAGAAATGGTAGTTATTTCTTTGCTTTATGCTGCTTTGGCTTAAGATTTCATAGGCACTTTTGAACAGCAGGGAAAATCTATCTATTTGCCCTCTAAATACAACTTATTTGACAGCGTGGGCTTACTTGCTTAATGCTCTTTAAATTTCTAAGCCAGATAGTAAATTATTTGGCATAACACCAGTATATTGTCATGCAGTGTTTCCCAAAGCAGGTGATTACCACCCGCCCTGGGGAATGTTGGAATGATCCAGGGGGGCTGTGAAAGCAGATACCTATACTTTGTTCTGGATTATACTACAAAAATGTGTCATTGTCGGATGCCAAGTAAGTTTGTTTTCTGAAAAAGGGGTAGTGGGAGTGGTGTTAGGTGCCTTCAAGTTGGGTCTTCCTACGTAGCTACCCTACGGCCTACAGTACAAAACACCACCCAGTCCTGGGCCATCCTCAAAACTGTTCGTGTTTGAGCCCATTGTTGCAGGTACCATGTTAATCCATGTTGTGGGTCTTCCTCTTTTTCACTGGCCCTCTCAAGTAGATGTCCTCTTCCAGGGACTGGTCTCTCCTGACAACAGGGCCAAAGTAATGAGACCAAGTCTCACCATCCTTCCCTTTCAGGAGCATTGTCTGTACTTCTTCCAAGACAGGCTTGTCTGTCCTTTGGCAATTCACGTACTTTCACTGTTCTTCATGAGCATCATAATTCAAATGCATCAATTCTTTCTTCAGTCTTCCTTATTCAGTGTCCAACTCTCACATGCATACGAGGAAATTGAAAATACCATGGCTTGGGTCAGGGGGCACCTCAGTCCTCAGAATAACTTCCTTGCTTTTCAACACTTTAAAAGAGGTCTAATGCAGCACATTTACACGGTACAATGTGTCATTTGCTCTCTTGAATGCTGTTTCCTTGAGCATTGATTATGGATCCAAGCAAGACGAAATCCTTGACAACTTCAATTTTTAGTGCTTGTCTTAATGAAAAATACTTTGAGTTTCATTCTGACAGTTTCTGCCTTACACAGATGTATTCACATACTTGCCAAAGTGAAGCATAGATGGTCATACAGATCTTAAATTCTAGTAGTAGAGAGCAAAAATGCATGGAAAATTCAACTAGATGTGATGCCATAATCATGTTCCAAATTCCAAGGCTGTGGATAGTAGCCATACCTCTTTCTTTCCCTCCCCTTCTCCAAAGCTCGCATCCTCTTACCCACCAGCCCAAGCTTTTCCCATTAGTGCCTTTTTGTTGTCCTGAGGAAAACTAATCTCTCCCTGGGTGCCAGGCACATGGGCATCCAGAAGGTCCCCACCAGAAAACCCTATGCCTCCAATTTACTTTGTCATTAGAAATAAAGTGTTGTCTTTATTGTAAAGAAAACTCCATGACAAAATGTATGTTTACGAATCAGAGGGTAAATCCCATTTAATGGGGAAGTACAAATTATGTGATTCAACAGCTGGAAGATACAGACAAGTCTCAGAAAGGATGAGCTTGTTTGGCTATTTTGAAATTCTGCCAAGATTGGCTTCCCCAGGAGGGGTAAGGCTATTCAAATAAGCTTGTCACTTACTGCTACAAAAATGTTCAATTTTAATATTAGCATTATAGAAAAAGATCTGAACTAAAAAGTTCTATCTTAAGCATTCTATTATTCCAAATTAAAATATAATTTATGTCCCATTTTATAACATTCATAAAAAGTTGCATCAAACTTGTAGTGGCTTTAGGATATCTAATAAAAATTTTGAAATAGTAGTTTTAGCAGAGAAAAAAAAAAACTAAACACATTGATTTCAACCTATGTACCTATAACCGTGCTACTATTTAAATTCAGAATTATCCACACTAAATTTAAAATGGGGTGTGTTTGTTTGGTAACTGTACAAAATGGGGAGAAATCAGTGTGACTTCCTGGATGATTGCTCTTCCAGAGGCTACAAAGTGAATTCTTCTGAAATGCAAACTATCTGCTTTCCAATGTTACCTCCTGTCATCAAAGCCTGGAATGCAGCTAGAAAAGAAAAAGACAAGGTTATCTGACAAGATCAATGGCCCTTTTACTCAGAAGGCCAGACTAACAAAATACATACAATAGGTTTGAATAATGTCTTCAGTGATTTAAATATAAATACAGGTCATTGCCAAGAAGCCTCAAACAAGACACTGACCAAGTTTCAGCACAAACTAACCCAATCAGCACATTAAAACCCTGTTTTCACACCAATGAGAAAGGTTTGTCTTTCACACTGAGACTGTGGGAAGAAAATAAGGACAGGAACAAAATGTCAGCACAAATGTCAAAAATATTAGGAACCTAATCATAAAGTTTTACTAAGTGAAAGATCTATTTTTTTATACCAGACCAATGAATGAAATTTATACTTCTGTTTAGTAAACACTACCCAAGTGTACTAAAATATTTTCTAAAGGAGGAAAGAAATCAGTTTGACTTAACTTGTGTTTCACTTGAAGTGAAAGAAAATGCTGGAATCTTTATCTTATGCAAAAATAAGAAAAATTAAATATTGAAAAAAATTTAAATATCATCTTAGGGTGCCTCAAACCAAAATCACTCGTTGCTGAGAGTTGATTCTAACGCACAGTGATCTCATTCACATGTCTCCAGAGTAGAACTGTTCTACTGGATTATCTCGGCTATCATCTGAGGGAGGCAGACTGGCAGGATTCCTTCCGAGGGGCTGCGGGTTGGTGGGAAATGCCCATCCTGAGGTGAGTTGCCAGTGGCACACTGCTTGTGCTGCTCAGCTCAAGGCCTTCCTGTGACACACCAAGACCATTCAATCCAGGCTGCAGGCTTTTTTCACAAATCTTGCATTCTTTTTTTTCTCAAAAAATTATTTATAGGTTTTTAATGTTGTTGTTTTTTTTTTAACCATTTGAAATGTGAGAACCAAATCTCTTAAATACCAGAAAGTTGGAATTCCATGAAGCTTAAGATGCTCATGAAGTAGGATACTTTCTCAGGGCAGAAAAGAAATGGTGAAACAAAACTCTAAAGTGGTGACATGAAAAGAAAAATGGAATACTGAGAATATGTTCTAAATAAGTCCATATTAATCTTACCTCCCATGTTTTCCAATCCATGGAGTATAGTTTCTTTGATCTGTAAATCAAAATAGCTAGATTTAATATTCTTTAGATCTGTTTCTATTTAATAGTTTGCATTTTTTGCAAGAGGTAGCATTAGTGCTTAGTACTTTCTGTCTAAACATAGAAAAATTATATCATGCAGGTAGCTCAGGAAAGCTTTTACTAACTTTAAAAAATAAAATCCTATTTCTCTATTGTCTAATCTTCAGTTGGCAGCTACACAACCTCTTAAAAAAAAAAAAGTCCATAAGCACACCTACATACAATTTTGCAGACCCTGTGCATGTTTCAAGAACATCCTAGGTCAGGATATGCAAATCCTAGATTAGTAACTCCTGGTTTTCAACCAACAACCAAGAGATACAGCAGAAAGCCCAAGAAAGGCAGGAAGGAAATGGGGTAGCAAAGTGGTAGGGATATAGGGAGGTGCTTACAGTTCTTTTTTTTTATCCCCACTGCCCTCAGATTACTGTTCTTACAGTAGCTTTAATAACTTGATTCAATGAATTATTACAATTTTTGTTGGCTTACTTTTTATTGATTGGTTTTTATGTATTTATTTATTTTTAATCATTTTATTGGGGGCTTGTACAACTCTTATCACAATCCATACATACATCCATTGTGTCAAGCCCGTATGTACATTTGTTGCCCTCATCCTCAAAAAATTTGCCTTCTGCTTTAGCCCTTAATATCAGTTGTTCATTTCCCCCCTCCCTCATGAACC